CTTTTCTGCAGTGCTTAATGCCATTTTACAGCCCCCAAGCTAGGAAATCAATGATGTGTTGGCCAGTCTTTCTGATAAATTAATTTCTGTTAAAGTAGTTATGGCTAAAAACAACTATAAATTACTGTTCCCAGTAAATACATTTGCTTGTTTACATGTAACAAAAATCCAAAGTTATGCCTAATGTTAGAAGCTCCAGGCTTAAAAATAGAGTAGTGAAGGAAGAATTTGGGGCAAAAAATAACTTTATCAGTAAAATGTAGGGAGACCCATGTGGATGGCAATGCTATGGCCTGGAATTTCTGGAGCAGCTACTGCTTTAAATCTTCCATTACACTGGCAGATTCAGGGTTTAATAAATGTTTGGATCTATAGTTCTGAAAATATGGTCACTATCCTCTCTTGTCTTTTGTCTTCCTCCTGTAGAGTTTCTAAGTCTGTCCTCAGGATGGGAATTGGCCTTTTCATAGAATCTGAGGCCTATTCACCAATGCTGTCAACAACACTTGACTGAGTATCTTTTACAATAAATTCTCAGTTTCCCACCTGTTTGGTGGATATTTAAACTAACAGATGGCTGGCTGGGCACAGTGGCTCGTGCCTGTAATCCCAGCACTGTGGGAGGCTGAGGCAGGTGGATCATGAGGTCAGGAGTTCAAGACCAGCCTGGCCAAGTTGGTGAAACTCTGTCTCTACTAAAAATACAAAAATTAGCCAGGTGTGGCGGTGTGCACTTATAATCCCAGCTATTCAGGAGGGTGAAGCAGGAGAATTGCTTGAACCTCGGAGGCAGAGGTTGCAGTGAGTTGAGATTGCACCATAGCACTCCAGTTCTGGATGACAGAGCAAGACTCCATCTTGGAAAAAAAAAAAAAAGTACAGATAGCTTTCCCCATCTATGGGTTCCTTATCCATAGATTTAGCCAACGACAGATCAAGAATGTTTGGGGAAAAATGGTTGCATCTGTCCTAAATATGTACAGACTTCTTTTTCTTGTCATTATTCCCTAAACAATAGAGTATAACAACTATTTACATGGCATTTACACTACATTAGGTGTAAGTAATCTACAAATGACTTAAAATATTTAGCAGGATATTATATGCCAATACTGTGCCATTTTATACAAGATATGAGCACCTGTGTATTTTGCTATCCACCAGGGGCTCCTCAAACCAACCCCCATGAACACTGAGAAACAATATGCAAGTAGATTCAGCTGGTGAACTGGCAGATGCTTTGGTAATTCTGCAGACTAAAGTAGTAGTAACTGGTTAACCAGCCTAAGCATTTTTCCATCAAGAATGATGACATTATTTTCTAAGTCAGCTACTAGAATAAGAGGTGGGCTTATAAATAACAGTAGGTTTGGCAAACAGGTCCACAGTTGCAAACTAAATGGCCAACCTCAAAGATAGATGACAGCAAAAGATCTTTTGGTTGATTGCACCCTAATAATTTTAGAGTAATCATTAATGCCATATTCCTTCCTGAGTCATTACTTTCAAAAATAAGATACCAATATACTATTCAGTATCCTCCAGCCTAGAAAAATAGACTCATTACATAGAATAAAATGGATCACAATTAGGGATTTAGACAATTCACAGGGCTCAAGGACAACAGCCTGACTCCTTAAAAACATATCTTATTAAACTAAGCTAAACGGTGCCCAGTATTTGCCACATAAACATGTGTATGTGACTGTGAAGGAACAAGTTAGGTCAAATGTCTAATGGCAGAAGACTGCTATGTGAGAAATAGCTCTAAATTAAACTAATTAGTTCATCACAGGGAAGTTTAGTCCTGGTTTTCTATCTGTACTTGACTTATCTCTAAACAATAATTTCAAGTCAGAGAAATTTAGAAAATAAATGTGGAATTGGTTGTTCCACTTGTTTGTAAGAAAAGATATGTAAACAATTTCTTGCTCGTTCTAGTCCAAGGAAAGCCTAGATCAGATAATTATTGATATTCTTAGAATTTATGGGGTTTTCTTTACAGAACTGTAGAGGACTTAATCAACTGCACTGAAATAGCTTCTAGTCTTACTTCAAGGGAATATGGTTTTTGAACTATTTCTCAGAAATGATTTTTGTAAATATTTATTTGTGAAAGAAAATCTGTTTTAATATATCAAGTAATTTTAAGCATAACTAGGTTTATCAGGACATTCTCAAACCCATCAAAGTTCAGAAGATAATATCAAGAAAGATAAACAATATAACCTTATATATTAATAGGATCGATAGAAATGTTTTTCCTATGGGTCAAAGCAGCAATCAAAACTTTGACTAAAATAAATTTTAAGACACATCTTGCTGTTAAGTCTAATCTATGTACTCTCAAGAACAAAATGCTTATTTAAAAACAGTCTGCAGGCTGCTGCAACTAATTTTATCCTAGGCCTGCTAGTTTCAGACAAAAGTATTTGTTGCAAGTATCTTGAATTTATGCATTAATATTATTTTTTAATGAACAGGCAACATAAACTCCCGTAAAGTAAGTAGCTGTCTTTCAAATTCATTTGTACCATTGTCATGGATATTCTGTCAGCAAAGAACATAGAATTTGTAGTAAAAATGTCTCTGATTGTTCAAGGTCAGGAATGCAATACAATAAATTAATGCCCTGTACAGCTGATACTTGTTAAAGCTTTGTGGTAACAACATACCTATAAGTTTTGATTTTCAATAAAACTCTGGGTTTTTTTTTTTGTTGTTGTTGTTGTTGTTGTTTTTAGCAGTGCTAGCTTATTCTATATCAAGAAGATTCTTCTTTCTGGCTCACTGTAAAGAGAATTTACACTTGAAGAGTCATTTTTAAAAGTGTCAGGAATGTATCTGCACTCATCTCTACTGCTTCCTCTCCTGATTCTCCAGGGACTAAAGGTGATATTAAATACATTGAACAACTAGCATGACACCTGCCGATCAATCAAAATAAACCACACTGGTGTGTTCTGGCTGAGCCAAGGGACTGATGTCAACCTATTATAAAAGATAGCAGAGCCAACTGGCCTATTTGGAAATCAGACTCATTCTAACTTTCAAGTCAATCTACTTGATTCTAACACTTCCATGTATCATAACAACATGACGATCATTTCTATTCTTCTGAAATGGAAAATGTTCATATCAAGTCTTTTCTGAAATGTTTCTTCAAATTCTATAAAATTTGGCCAAATAACGAGTTCAACACATTTAATGTTAAAAATCATGAATATTGGGGCAATGGTCCCTCCTACACTGTAATCTGTATGTTGGTTGCCCATCCAAACAGGTTTAGGACCACAGTCCAAACAAAGGACAGGGAGGAAAAGAGCCACAGGAGAAGAAAAGCCATCCCATAACCGTGAGATGGCTACCGGGACGAGGGGAGGAGTGTCATATTAATCAGGGTGGAGGCTGAGATAATTGAGGGTGCCACTTCAAGAAGTGAACCAAGTCCAGGAATAAAACACAGTGTATAAATATGGTTTATCTATATATCAATATCTTCTGAGGGATGTAACTGTGGGAAGAGACAGTGAATTAGCTAACCACCCTGACAAATGATTATGACTTAAAATTTCTAAGGAGGTCTGTGGTGCAAACAATCCTAATAATTTTCTACCTAATGAAAGATCGATGAGGGTTAAAATTGAAGACAATCCCAGTACAGAAAGAAAATTTACTGAATTTTCACTCCATGAGCTGATGTAGTTTTAATTTAGAGCTACTTTTTTTTTTTTTTTTTTTTTTTTTTTAGACAGAGTCTTGCTCTGTCACCTGCTGAAGTGCAGTGGCATAATCTTGGCTCACGGCAACTTCCACCTCCCAGGTTTACATGATTCTCCTGCCTCAGCCTCCCAATAGCTGGGATTACAGGTATGCACCACCAAGTCTGGCTAATTTTTGTATTTTTAGTAGAAATGGGGTTTCACCATGTTGGCCAGGCTAGTCTCAAACTCCTGACCTCAAATGATCTGCACACCTCGGCCTCCCAAAGTGCTGGGTTGCACCTGTGCTACTTCCTAAATAATAGATCCTTGAGATACTCAGCATCTACTATGTTGCAGCATCCTAAATAAATGCACTGATCTGCTGCTTTTGTCCTACAAATTTCACATACGTATTTCCCAGCCTGCCTTTCTCCCAGTTTTCACTAGTTGGGTGTCTTTATACGGGTGTTGCTGTGAAAATGGAGGTGTGGGGAGGGAGCTGGCTCTTTCAGGTTTAGTAGTTTTTCATCATCAACACTAGAAATATGACATCAGGTTTCCTTTAGAATCTGTTGTCTCAAGTTTTAGTAATAATTTGGCCAAAGCTCCTTATGTATTAGGGTACTTTTCTCTGAGATGTATTAGCATCACAGTGCCCACATACCTGGCCTGATGTATTTGTCTAAGTGTAGGGTAAAAAATCTATTTAGGGCCTGGTGCAGTGGCTCACACCTGTAATCCCAGCACTTTGGGAGGCCAAAAGGTGGGCAGATCACGTAATGTCGGGAGTTTGAGACCAGCCTGGCCAACATGGTAAAACCTCGTCTCTACTAATAATACAAAAATTATCTGGGTGTGGTGGCTAATGACTGTAATCCCAGCTACTCAGGGGACTGAGGCAGGAGAATTGCTTGAACACAGGAGGTGGAGGTTGTAGTGAGCCAAGATCATGCCATTGCACTCCAGCCTGGGCAACAAGGGAGACTCCATCTCAAAAAGAAAAAAAAAAATCTATTTAGGAAGAAAACAAGTCCCTTTGGATACCTCTAGCTAAGCAATAATAAATATAATAAAAAGGTCATTGCAATAGAAAAAAAGAAAATTGTGACATAAGTTAATGCTGTCTCCTTTTCAGCCTCACGTTGTTTTTCCTAGTCTGTTCCCAGGGCCCTGAGTTGCTGGTTGGACCCCCTAATTGCCCCCTGGAATATGCTTGTCTTGTCTCTGCTCTAGCTTTTTGGATATGTTTTCTTTTATTTTTTATTTTTTGAGATGGAGTCTTGCTCTGTCACCCAGGCTGGAGTGCAGTGGTGCGATCTTCCCTTACTGCAACGTCTGCCTCCCGGGTTCAAGCGGTTCTTCTGCCTCAGCCTCCCAAGTAGCTGGGACAACAGGTACATGCCACCTTGTTTTTTGTATTTTTAGTATAGATGGGGTTTCACCATGATAGCAAGGATGGTCTCAATCTCCTAACCTCATGATCCACCCACCTCGGCTTCCCAAAGTGCTGGGATTACAGGCATGAGACACCGTGCCCAACCATCTTTTGAATATTTCTACAAGGCTATCCAAGTGTAATTGTCACTAGTTCCATTCCCACAGAACCCTCCTTTCTACTTATTAACCTACCATTCTAATTGTTGTAAATATGCTAATTGGCCAAAATATAACAATATTAATTTTGGAATAATATACTATCAATCCTTGTGATTCGCTAATCATGTATTTGCAAATCTAATTACTTAATAACATTCATTTGTAACCCCAGAATCAATACCATGGTGCTTTTTTAGTCATTTGCAGGTATATGAAGAGTGGTAAAAATTTGAGTCATCCAACTTGCGTATTCAGCTGAGGTCAAACAAGTTGATGCTGTACATTCTTGTTTAAGCTCTCCTATTGTAAGCAAGTATCCTTTTCACGATTTATTAATGCCATGTTTTTTCACATTTTTGTTCTTTTGAGTGGCGGTTTCTCTGTTTAAAATGTCCCCCATGTGCAGTGCTTAGATGCTGTCTAGTGTTCCTAAGGGCAAGTAGGCTGTATGTGCCTTAGGGAGAAAATACATAATGAGTTTCGTTCAGGCATGAGTTATAGTGCTGTTGACCATGAGTTCAGTGTTAGTGAATCAACTTTATACTATCTTATATATTATATATTACCTTATATATTATATATAAGGTATCTTTAAACAAAAGCACACAGAAAACAAGGTTATGTTTTGCTCAGTGGATGAAAATACTGTGGCTAGAGGCTCGCAGGAGCCTAATCCCACTTCCTCTAATAGCACTGGCTTGGTATTTGCTAATTCAGTGTTTGTAGTGACATTATAGAATGAACATATAACTCCTGTGAATAACAACAATGGACTCTATCTTCTCCCATGAAATAATTTGCTATCATTTAGGAATAGAAATAAAATGCAGTCAAGTACGTAAAAGAACAATAAAAACCAAGCAAGAACCAAGCCATGTAGTCTAGAAGTAGACAGAGGTAAACAGAGTAGTTGAACCAGAGAACCTTTGATACGTACCATATTTGAGCAAAAAACTGAACTCTGAGCTTCTAGGCAATAGAGGCAAAAAAAAAAAAAAAAGAAGGCAATAAATACTATAGTTTTTCTTATAAGGCTAAAGCAAATGTTTCAGCTTCTTGGGAGAGATACTTTTTTTTTTTCTATCAGTAAATTCTAAGAGTAACTATGGCACAAAGCACATAATGGCAATGGGATTTCTAATTATAGTTTTATAAATAAAGTAGAAATGAACTTCACATGACTAGTTGTTTTGTTTGTGTGTTTTGAGACAGAGTCTCCCTCTGTCACCTGGGCTCGAGTGTAGTGGCATGATCTTGGCTCACTGCAACCTCCACCTCCCAGGTTCAAGTGATTCTCCTGCCTCAGCCTCCCGAGTACCTGGGATTACAGGTGCTCACCACCACGCATGGCTGATTTTTGTATTTTTACTAGAGACAGGTTTCACCAGCATGTTGGCCAGGCTGGTCTTGAACTCCTGGCCTCAAGTAGTCTGCTGGCTTCAACCTCCCAAAATGCTGGAATTACAGACTTGAGTCACCATGCCGGGCTATGACTGCTTTTGAAATTGACAGTGATAAACCTCAAGGCCCTGATGCTATTTTTGTTGCTCTATGAAGGCATTCCTACAGGGATCTGAAGTTCTAAATATTTCTGGAGCTCTGACATAAAATGCATTTCTATTGTATATGTGAAATTATCATAATTATGGAAATACCCAGTTCTCTGGTAAACTGAAAGGGGAGTTATGTTTGAGTCAGGCTATGTTGTTACCTCTAAAACCACTGTAAAAAGAAGACATCTGCATTTGCCTATGAATTGAAGAGTCAACATAGGGCAGCCCAGAATAATGAGAATAGTCTCCAACCCATAATAGACTACACCAATTAGAAATATGATGTTAATGAGAAATATTGTGTTAATTATGAGGTTAGATGTATCTGAAACTCCCTCCATCAAGTCCTTGACTCTTTCGAATATCTGTGCTCATTTTAATTTGTTAATTTATCCTACTACTCATGCTGAGAATTTTCTGATATTATGTGGAGAAAGATACAAAATGTACATTTAAATAGTAAAAGAATGTTCAGAACAAAACAAGACTGAATAAAAACTTATCAACTCATTTAAACTTCCCCATATATTTTACATATATTTTATGGATTGGCTGTTGATGCCCAAATTTTTGAGCTTAATTTGTCCTGATTTTCCAAACATGGTTATTCACACATTTGGGACTTGTTAAAAAAAAACATTCAACCATCAGCCAGATTAAATTTAAAGGAGTTTAATTGAGCAATGAACAATTCACGAATCCCTTAGGCCCCAGAATCACAGCAGATTTAGACACTCCAGTGCAGCCACATGGTGGAAGAGAATTTATGGACAGCAAAAGGAAAGTGATGTTCAGAAAACAGAAGTAAGACACAGCAGCAACTGGATGGTTACAAGCTCTGCGTTTGCCTTATTTGAACACGATTAAACTGCTGGCTACATTTGATTGGCCAAGCTCAGTGACTGGCACTGGTGTCAGCCATGGTCAGTTTACACCTTCACTTGCCTAGTTCACGATGTACAGAAAAACCTTTAGGCTGAACATAAATATGCAAGAAGGCAGTTTTAGGCCAAGCTTGATTTAACAGACTCTTTAGGAATACATATTCTGGAAGAACAAATTTATACAAATAAATGTTTATGGCTATCTCATAACTGCATTATCAGCAATTTTTGTACTATCGAGATTTTTATGTTAGGTCTCAGTCCTTTATATCATTAAAATATTAAATAGAAAAAATCATGGAATTTATTCATAAATAGATGTACGTCTGTTTCCCCAGACGATAGGTAAAGAACCATTTGGGTAAGAATGGGCTGCTGATCTGCAAGGGGAAAAACGAGCTTCAGAAAACTGAGGGGAAAGTCATTTAAAAACCATCATAGTTTATAAAAGATATAAACTATTCAGTTCCTTTACTTTTTAATATTTAGAAGAATAAACAAAAATTTGATTCAATTAAATGTAACAAATACAATTAAATGGAGATGCAATTTGATTTATTGTAAATAACATGATTTTAATGCAGATTAACTGTAGGCAGTACCCTACCAGAATGTAATGCATTCTGGAAAATATCTACTGAATCAAATGTGTTAAGACATAAAAAAATGTTATGGTATGATTGGAAGAGGGGATAGGAAGGATGTCTGTTCCAGGGAGCTATACGTAATGTCAACTCTTTAATTACTTGCTGTTTTTTGTTTTGTTTGGTTTTGGTTTTGAGATGAAGTCTCACTCTGTTGCCCAGGCTAGAGTGCAATGGTATGATCTCTGCTTGCTGCAACCTCTGCCTCCCAGATTCAAGCGATTCTCCTGCTTCAGCCTCCCTAGTAGCTGGGATTACAGGTGTGTGCCACTGCACCTGGCTACTGTTTTGTATTTTTAGTAGAGATGGGGTTTCACCATGTTGGCCAGGCTGGTCTTGAACTCCTGACCTTAGGTGATTCGACTGCCTTGGCCTCCCAAAGTGCTAGGATTACAGGGTTGAGCCACCATGCCTGGTCACTTGCTGCTTTTAGACATAATCTTTGATGGCATAGATCTAATATTTTATACTTATACTTTTATTTTGTTCTTTCAAAAAAAAAATCATTCACTTTGATTAGAAATAAATAAGAAATACAGTATTCAGATAATGGCTCAAACACTGCAATACAAAGATGGCGATGGGGACAAATGGAGCCATTGCTCGGCCAGCAACACCTATGGGATTTCATTTTAGATGTTGAGTCCTGAGTTGATTTTTTAAAAGCCTGGGTTTGGCATTGTAATGCTGCTAGCTCAGAAACATCGATGTGTAATAGGAGAAAATGTATGGGGAATTCAGCACTTGCCCAAACCTCCATGTGCCCAGCCTTGGTACACTCAGGCTAGAGAGATCTGTGAAGGGCTGTTCCATTGCCTGATGACTAATCCCACCCCAACGTTGGTTGGAGATCCTGCCACATATCCACGGAGGCTGTGAATCTCTTTCCAATGAGATGCTAGCTTTTAGTCAACTGTTTTAAAAATTATTAACTTTGACGGCTCTTGAAAGATTAGTTTTCTATCGCCATGCCCAAATCTTTCCTCCCACTCTGCACCTGCACCTGCACCCAAAGAAGGTAAATCAGCCAGGTACGGTGGCTCAGTAATTCCAGTAATTTGGGAAACCGAGGGGATACATATCGCTTGAGGCCAGGAGTTCAATAGCAGCCTGGCCAACATGGTGAAACTCCTGTCTCTACTAAAAAATACAAAAATTCACCAAGTGTAGTGGCATGTGCCTGTAATTCCAGCGACTTGGGAGGCTGAGGTGGGAGAATCTCTTGAACCCAGGAGGTAGAGGTTGCAGTGAGCTGAGATAGTGCCACTGCACTCCAGCCTGGGTAACAGAGCCAAACTCCATCTCAAAGAAAACAAACAAAAAGAAAGTAAATCAGTAGGGAATGTATAGGAATTATATGACAAAATAGACTTTAGAAGAAACCTTTTTAAAACCATTTACAAAAGGAAACTGAATAGACCTCTGACATATTCTTGTCTCCAATAAGCTACGAAAATAGTACTGGTTTGATCACTTAAATGACATCCTGCTATTCTCTGGTAAATATTTACTCATACCTTTAAAGGAAAAAATTAGCTAAAGGTAAGCTTGAGTTAGAAACTTAACCTAACCTAATCCTTTGTAATTCGGCAAAATTCCTCTTCACACATAAACCAACAGCCATGTTTTGTGTTAAGGCCCCCAACTCCGAAGGACAATTAGCCAACTCCTGGATCATCTCATGTTATACCCTGTCCAAAAATAAATGAACTGGGGA